GAACCGTGTAAGTACAAGGGAGTATCCGGTATAAGCGGGTGTCTAGTGAAGGTAATGAATCCGGTTTTTGTACTGGAAAATTTAAAGCCATGAGAAGTGGTCCAATGGGAGACTCGGTCTATCACAACCTGAAGGAAGGCTGCTACTAGTCAACAGTCAGCGTCTGAAGAAGCTATAGCGAAGTCATCAACATAAAGTGATGACCAAATGTGCAAAGGAAGAATGGAAGGTAGGTCATTTATAACCAAGAGAAAAATAGTAGTACTGAGGACACAAAGTCCGAGGAAAGCGAGGTGCCAATACGGACCCGAAAATGTCTATCGGACAAGAAAGCAGTGATGAAGTTTGGCAGATTACCACAGAAGCCTAAGGAGTGGGTTTGGAGCTGGTGCAAGCAACCACAAATCAATTACCTTTAGCATTGAATGGAAGTATGATAGTAGGGATAACTCAGTAACAGTCCCAGATTTCGTTTAGCAAATTACAATTGGTTTAGAGAACACTTATCATCTGTTGACTGGGGTAATGAAGAGAGCTATCAATATGAGAGTTTTCTAAACAGTATACATGCTGCCCAAAGAACATTTATCCCGTATAAAGAAATTAGATCAAATAGAAATGACCCAAAATGGATGAATAATAGGCTCAAATATCTTTTAGGGCAGAAGAAAGGAATTCAAAGGTGCATCAAAAGAAGTGAGGGTCATCTTATGAATCAATATCCTATTGACATTAAGAGGGATGTTAAAAAGGGGATAAGAAAAGCTAAACAGGGCTACGAAATTAAAGCTGCTAAGGATTCGAAAACTAATCCAAAAGGTTTTTTCCAAGTTTATAGAACAAAAGTTAGAGAAAAGATAGGTCCCCTTAAAAATAACTGGGCATCTTACTGACAAGGAGATTGAAATGTGCTCTATTTTTAATAATTATTTTCTCTTGGTTTTCACACAGGAAGACACTAACAATATCCCAGTTATTAATTTTTATAGTGGGCCTTAAGAAGATATATTATGTAATATCACAGTTACTAGCGAAATGGTTATAAAACAAATAGACCGACTGAAACAAAATAACTTCTTCAAGGGGGGCTCCTTCATGTGGCAAAGAGGCTCTTGGTCTCAGGAATCAAATACTTTGGTCTCCTTCCTTAGACTGAGTCTAAGTGCCCCACGATCCTCCCTTCCCTATCCCTTCCTCCCCATACCCCCCTTTTTTCCCTTCCCTCCCCTCTCCCAACCCTCCCCTTTTTCCTGGTCCCATTTGTAGCCTCTGGGGTCCTCCCCTCTGGCATTATGGTTTCTAGGTGGGGGGTGGCATGCTGGGGTTCATCCCCCTCCGTGAGGTCCCTTGGGGATGGTGTGGTTTGCCGTGGAATCTGAATTGTCTGAGGATGTCCTGCTCCCTTCCCAGATTTTCGGGTCGTGGGTGGGGTGCCGTTTGGGTGATGGGTGTATCTTTGGAAGCTGCCTGCTGGTTCTGGGGGGTGGCAGCCGAAGGAGGTATGCCTTGTGGTGGGTTTCCCACCGTTCTTTCTTTTGTCTGCCAAGGTAGCTCAGTGGATGTGAGGCTGCTATCCCGGAGTCTGGCATTTATTGCATATTTTATGTGTGCTCTGATAATAATACTTGTGGAGCTGTGTGGTAGCCGGGTGGAGGGACAACATTACGTTTTCTCTGTTCAGCCATCAGAGAAAACGTGTATGAATCTGCATTTGGCCCAGCCACTCCCTCATTCTGCTTTTGTTTACAATTTTCGGCATGAATTATTCATTACGTACTTCTACCTTCGTTTATGATGGCATCTAAAGGTAGTTGTTAGAAATGATTAAATTCAGTGAACAAGGCATGTCGATGTTAATAATATGGCTCTGGGCCACACTGACTTCCTACAAATAAATACTACTCACCTCTCTTCCTATATTAAGACTACACATGCTCTGGGCCACACTGACTTCCTACAAATAAATACTACTCACCTCTCTTCCTATATTAAGACTACACATATTTTAAGGTAAATAATGAGTGTACTGTATGTGTATTTTACCTCTCTGGGATGTTTTAAATATCGTATATTAAGTATGAGATGGGGAGCCAGTGCTACCTACACCTGGGCTACCTGCACCTGACTTCCTACAAATAAGTACTACTCACCTCTCTCCCTACATTAAGATTACAAATACAGTGGACCCCCGATTTGCGAAGTCACGGGTAACCGATAAATCCGGTATCTGAAGCGTTATATCGCCAAAAAATTGCCCCGGTTCCCGTAACAAAACCCGGTACGCGATACGATTCGTACGAGACGTGTCCACATGTGGCCTGAACTGCCCTGTGTGTGCCAGTGTTTACAAGCCAGCCAGTGTGCGCGCATCTAAGGATACATTCGGTACATTCCATATTATCACTGTTTCTGGTGCTTGTTTCTGCAAAATAAGTCACCATGGGCCCCAAGAAAGCTTCTAGTGCCAACCCTTCGAGACCAAGGGTGCTAATGACTATTGAAATAAAGAAAGAGATAATTGCAAAGTATGAAAGTGAAGTGCGTGTGTCGGACCTGGCTTAGTTGTATAGTAAATCCCAATCAACCATCTCTACTATAGTGAGCAGGAAAACGGCAATCAAGGAAGCTGTTCTTGCAAAAGGTGCAACTGTGATTACAAAACAGCGATCACAAGTGTTAGAAAATGTTGAGAGACTGTTACTGGTGTGGATAAATGAAAAACAGATAGCTGGAGATAGCATCTCTCAAGCGATCATTTGTGAAAAGGCTAGGCAGTTGCATGAGGATTTAATTAGAAAAATGCCTGCAACTAGTGGTGATGTGAGTGAATTTAAGGCCAGCAAAGGTTGGTTTGAAAGATTTAAGAATCGTAGTGACATACATAGTGTGATTAGGCATGGTGAGGCTGCCAGTTCAGACCAGAAAGCGGCTGAAAAATATGCGCAGGAATTCAAGGAGTACATAGAGGCTGAAGGATTGAAACCTGAACAAGTGTTTAATTGTGACGAAACAGGCCTGTTTTGAAAGAAATTGCCAAGCAGGACCTATATTACTCAGGAGGAAAAGGCACTCCCAGGATAATAAGCCTATGAAAGACAGGCTTACTCTTTTATTCTGTGCTAATGCTAGTGGTGATTGCAAAGTGAAGCCTTTATTGGTGTATCACTCAGAAACTCCCAGAGCATTCAGGCAAAAGAATATCCTCAAGGCTAATTTGTGTGTGCTGTGGAGGGCAAACACTAAGGCATGGGTCACTAGGGACTTTTTCTATGACTGGTTACACCATGCATTTGCCCCCACTGTGAAAAATTACCTAATTGAAAAGAAATTAGACCTTAAGTGCCTCCTGGTGTTAGACAATGCCCCTGGTCATCCTACAGATTTGTCAGAGCGACTTTGTGGGGACATGAGCTTCATTAAGGTGAAGTTTTTGCCTCCTAATACCAATCCTCTCCTGCAGCCCATGGACCAGCAGGTAATTTCCAACTTCAAGAAACTGTACACAAAAGCTATGTTTGAAAGGTGCTTTGAAGTGACCACAGAAACTCTATTGACTCTAAAGGAGTTTTGGAAGGATCGCTTTAATTTCCTCAATTGTGTAAACCTTATAGGTAAGGCTTGGGAGGGAGTGACTAAGAGGACCTTGAACTCTGCTTGGAAGAAACTGTGGCCAGAATGTGTAGACAAAAGAAATTTTGAAGGGTTTGAGGCTAACCCTGAGAATCCTTGCCAGTTGAGGAATCCATTGTGGCATTGGGAAAGTCCTTAGGGTTGGAGGTTAGTGGGGAGGATGTGGAAGAGTTGGTGGAGGACAATGACAAACTAACCACTGATGAGCTGCTAGATCATCTTCAACAGCAAGAGGCCAGACCTGAGGAAACTGCTTCGGAGGAGGGGATGGAGAAAGTGAGGAAGTTGCCTACTTCAAAGATTAAGGAAATGTGTGCAAAGTGGCTTGAAGTGCAAACCTTTTTTGATGAAAATTACCCTGACACAGCTACTGCAAGCCGTGTTGGCAACCTGTACACTGACAATGTTGTGAACCACTTTAGGAAAGTCATAAAGGAACGAGAGGTACAGGTCTCTATGGACAGATATGTTGTGTGACAGAAGTCCAGTGACTCTCAAGCTGGTCCTAGTGGCATAAAAAGAAGAAGGGAAGTAACCCCGGAAAAGGACTTGCTACCTCAAGTCCTAATGGAGGGGGATTCCCCTTCTAAAAATTAAAAACTTCAACACTCTCCCCTCCTCCCATCCCATCAATCATCACCATATCTTCATTAAAGGTGTCATTATTCTATTGTGTTTATTCTATTTTTATTATTGCTATTGTAATTATTCTATTGCATTAAACTCAATATTTCATGTGGTAAAAGTTTTTTTTTCATACTTTTGGGTGTCTTGCACGGATTAATTTGATTTCCATTATTTCTTATGGGGAAAATTGATTCGCTTTCCAATAATTTTGCTTTACGATGAGCTCTCAGGAACGGATTAATGACGTGAACTGGGGGTCCACTGTACTTTAAGATAAGTAATGAATTTACTGTGAATGTATTTTACTTTGTGTGTTTTTAATGCCTAGTTCTATTACTAACTTAATATAATTTAGTGTAAACTTGTTGTCTGGCATTTAAATGCATTTATAAATGGAAAAAAATGGTGTTCTGCCTTCCGGCGATGTCTGCTTTCCGGCGACAGCCTGGAACCTAATCCGCCGTATAAGTGGGGCCCTACTGTACCATATTTTTGTCTCCATGTGGGTTACTGCTTAATGTACAGTACATGTTAATGATTCCAGAGCTCATTGCCCCAGTAATCCAATCTCAGAGCAAGCCTCCTAATATAATAAGAAAATTTTCAAGGAATGAAAACTATACAGACTGAACATCAAAGTTTGTAAAGTGTACTTTCCATTTTACATGTTCATGAGACAAGAAAATATGATTGCTGCCTACCATTCTATTACAAACATTAGCTTCTGAAGTTTAAAAATTTACCTGAATGTAAGCAGAAAGACACATGGAGCAGTCATGCAGGTCCTGGGAGGCAGGGTTTGGGGACTTCTCCCTGCTGCTTGGATGAGAGGGTGACAGAGGCAAGCTGTTAACAAGACTTGGTGACCTCTCACGTGGTGACCTGCTCAAAAAGAGAAAATTTTAATCTAAAAATGAAGGTAAGCAATACAATAAACACAGAAAAACACAGCAATACAATACAGTTGGACCCCGTATCCACGGGGGATATGTTCCAAGGACCTGCCATGGATACCGAAACCATGGATAGCAGCAAACACTATATGTAACTCTTATACATGCCTATTATAAAGTTTAATTGATAAATTATGCAAAATAAGTGGAGAATTATCACTTTTTCACTGATGGGAATCTTCTCTTAGACTTTGAAGAACTGCTAGTTTCTCTACTTTTGCACTTTGTGGCCATTATTATGCAAAATTAACCGAAACCGCAGATACCGAATCAGTGGATACAGCGGTTCTACTGTATTCATAAATGCACTCTATTTTATGACTTTTCTTTAAAATTAGTCACACAGCATCATCACCTGATGATCTTCTAAGAATTTACACCACATCTTTTTTTTTTATCATACTTACACTCTACATATCAGGTCTTCACACATTACTGTTCATCAACTAACATACCCAAATCTATCTTTGCAAAGAGTGCCATTGGCCTCAGGAGTGTGCAGCCGCACCCGACCAGAACCTCCATGTGTAAGGGGAGCAGGTGGAGGCTTACTAAATCCCCCTGCTCCCCCACTCCCTCCAGGGCCGCTGCGTCGCATTGTAAACTAGTGCATCACAATTCCTGGAAAAAATACAAAAACAAAATACATAAAAAATACCTTCACAATACATGTGCTGTGTTGTTCAGCATGTCAAATATAAGCAAACAATATTTTCACAGCATAACAAGAAATATGGAGACGAGAAAGTGAGAGTGAGAAAGGAAAAATTTATGAAGGGATAAAAGGAAATCAGTTAGGTGGACTTTAGTCCTGGAGGTAGGAGGTACAGTGCCTGCACTCTGATGGAAAGGCAGGGATGCTACAGTCGAAGGGTTATCTGAATTGTGATGTCAGCAAACTTCTGGCAAGACAACAACTGAAAAATGATGGTGAATACATTATCTTTTATGGGTCACCCTGTCTTAGCAAAACAGCCACTGAGGAAAAGATAAATAAATATGTAAATAAAGAAATAAATAATCACAGCAAAACGATCTCACCTCTATCCACAACAATCAACATCACTGTCCACCTGCTTCCCTCTACTAGTTTGCTAAACCAAGGGTTTCCTGTATATGTATACCATACACAATACCAGCCCATGTTAAAATTACATTCTTTTTACCATGGTTAACATTTGTTTAAAACCATATTTAATATACAGTATATATTATATTTTAATTTTGTTAAAGTGAAGCTCTAAATCATGGAGGTCATCTAGCACAATCACTGGTGGAGGCTTGATCCTTCATTCGCTAATTGTTTAGCCTAGTATATGTTATACAGTGGAATCTCAGTTTTTGTATGCCCTGGTTTTCGTAGGATTTGGCTTTCTAAGATGTTTTTCATCAAAATTTTGTCCAAGTTTTCATACATCTGCTTGGGTTTCGTAGAGTTAAAAATGGTCTGCCGTACCAAACGAGTCCGCCCTGCCTGTGCCCACACAAAGCATCCCATGCATTCTGACTCAGTCTGGCTTTGTTTTTTGTTGAGTGAGCATTTTGAAGGGTTTGAGGCTGACCCTGACAACCCTACACCTATTGTGGAATCTACTGTGTCTTTGGGGAAGTCCATGGGGTTGGATGTGAGTGGCCAGGATGTAGAAGAGTTGGTGGACAACCACTGGGAAGAGCTAACCACTGAAGAGCTGCAAGACCTTCAACTGGAACAGTAACAGACCATAGTTGAGGAAATTGCTTCAGAGGAGGAGGAAGAGAGAGGGGAGAATGTGCCTTCTTCAGTGATAAAGGACATGTGTGCAAAGTGGAATGAGTTGCAAAGTTTTGTGGAGAAATATCACCCTAACAAAGCTGTTGCAAGCCATGTCTGCAACATGTTCAATGACAATGCCTTGTCCCATTTTAGGCAAATCTTAAAGAGACGCCAGAAACAGACCTCTCTGGGCAGATTTTTTGTGCGACAGGGGTCCAGTGACTCTCAAGCTGGTCCTAGGACTTCTGTGTCAGCCTTCGTCAGGTGTGGACGTCTCTCTCTCGCCTGCAGTGACAAATTTCCTCCATTCTCTCTGGGACACTTGTCCTCATTTATTTTGCCCACCGAGCACTCTACAAGAGGGGCACCTGTACATCGGCTTACTTTAGCCAGCTCCATTTTTTCCACTCTGTGGAAAATTCTTTAACGGTCTTTGGTGGGAAGCCGGTTACTGAACTCAGGTGGGAGTGTGGGCGTCCCTCTCTGCTGAGGCTTGGCAAGGGGGTCCACCGGATCTAATTGGAAACTTCAAGTTTCTGTCTCTATTTACAAGGGAACTTTTGTTCCTTTTTCTTTCATCGCCCAGCCCTGGGCAACAAATCTTCCTCGTACCATTGAGAAACCGAGATTGATACAGCTTATGCTGTCATTGGCCCTGATAAACCCAACAACAACAAGCTGGTCCTAGTGCCAGTAAAAGACAAAGAAAGGAAGCAACCCCAGATAGGGCCTTGATACCCGAAATCCTTATGGAGGGGGATTCCCCTTCCAAACAATAACCTCTCTTCCTCCCTCTCCCCTCCTTGCCGTCTTCCATATGCCAACAAGAATCTTCAATAAAGGTAAAAATGTTAAATGTTCATTTATCCATTTCATTAGTCATTTATATTTATTTCTCACTGTTTTCTGTATGTAAAACTATAGTTATTCTCTATAAAATGTATTTTTTGTTAATATTTTTGGGTGTCTAGAATGGATTAATTGAATTGACATTATTTCTTATGGGAAATATTGCTTCAGTTTGCGTACAATTCAGTGTTCAACGGACTTTCTGGACCAAATTAATCACGAATTAACCCTTAACCCTTTGAGGGTCGACAGGCCCTCTCCGAGACTCGTTCTCAGGGTCGGCCAAATTTAAAAAAAAAAATAATTTTTTCTTAGGAAAAGAGAGAGAATCTTTTCCCGATCATAATGACACCAAAATTATGAAATTTGATGGAAAACTTATGGAATTATGCTCTCGCGAATTTAGCAGTCTCGGCGATGTTTACGCATCGGCAATTTTGCCCACTTTGAGCCCCATTTTCGGCCAATTCCACTGTACTAGTCGACAAAAAACATGAATATTTCGCTAGAACTCCATTTTTTCTATCGAATGAGTGCAAGAAACCACCCATTTATCAATTTCAACTATCCAGTACAGTGGTCAGAATTTAGCAATTTTGCCAATTTCACACAAATGTCAAAAGATGCCAATTTCCAAATAGGGTCCAGAATAAACAAGAAAGACATTCCTGGCACTAAAATGACATTTCCTCTGTTCATTAGTCACGTCTCAAGGCCCCTCTTACATTCTTTTGCTTTCCACTTTTAATTTTTATTCTCACAAAAAATAGAAGATTTACTGTTATGCAGACTACTGCATTAGTGTAAAAAATGGTATAAATAATATTGGCGCACTTGCAAAAGAATATTAGACTCGCCAGTTGACGTGTATTGGACGCTTGGCATGATTTGTTTACTTTTGAACTTTGGTAAAAATCGAACATTTCTGCTACTTTGAGCTCAATTTCAAGGTACTTTTCATTGTAAAACCAGTCAAAATCATCTCAATTTCTGTAACGTCTTCCATTCCATAAAATGAGACCAAGAAAACTAGAATACAACAATAAATACCATACGAAAATACAGTGCAAAGTCGCTGTTTTATTCCAAAAAAACGGTCTGAGTTTTTTTTTTTCTCATTATGTACTGTGTGCTGCAGGATTTTTTTTATACTATGCACACTGACCACATAGACCCATTCTTTCATATGTAGGCCTACCAGCTTTCTCCCACTAGATTTGAGGGCGCTAGAATTTAGGCGTACTAGTACGTCAAAAACCCTGGGTCGTAAGCCGTACTAGTACGGCCGAAACCCTCAAAGGGTTAAACGGTCCAAACAGATCGACGTTCAAATTCGTAGTGCTACAAAAGTAGATCTACTTTTTTTTTACATATTTTCAAATATAAGTTTTTTTACACGTTTTCAAATGTAAAACAAAAAAGAAGATCTACATTTTTTTACATACTTTCAGATGTTGAAAAAACGTATATATACGTTTGGACCATTTAAGGGTTAATTACTGTACTGTAACATAACATCTGAAGATCGTTGACACAAAATTTTTATTTAATGAATATTTTCGATTGGCAAATTCGTTTATTAACCCTTTGAGGGTCGACAGGTTTTCTCAGAGACTCGTTCTCAGGGTCGGCCAAATTTCAAAAAAAAAAATTATTTTTTCTTATGAAAAAAAGTTTTTTTTTTCTAAATATTATAGGTTAAACAAAAAATTTTTACCATCAATATTTACGGAGATATGGAGGCGTGAAGTTGATGAAAAAGGGGGACAATGTGGCAACATCGCCGACTGCCGTCTCCCAGTACCTATAATGTACTAATTTCTATTATTTTTTAATTTTTCTTTTTCCAAGTAATGTTTATGGCCTCTGAGACCAATATGATCAGTATTTTGTAAGTTTTTTCTTCTTCAATACTACACAATAAGGGCATAAACACTGTTGTCATTGTTTTGCTTATATAAAATATTTACACAAACGATATGAAATGTTATTTATTACTATTTTTCTATATTTTATATACACATATACAGTCACAGGGAATGTTTCTAGAAGTTCTGCAGCCTGTGGAAGTCTTTGAAACATGGTGTCATGCACAGTGGAGTTTTACACTCCTCACATAAAACGAGTGTCTCTGCGGTTGTTGTGTGCGTTTTTTTGTATGTGCACAGACGTAACACCTCTTCTGAGCCTTTTTCTTGAAAGCAGTAGCAGGCAGTTTTACCAGGAAGTGATCATCATGCTTCAGACGAGAAGGTAGTTGTTGATAATTTGGTGGGCGGTCTATTGCAGGTGTTCTTCCTTGGTACTTGAATACTATTTGTCTGATGACAGATAAACAGAATTCACCGTATTGTGGTTTGTTTCTGGTCCTCATCTTATACATATTATAAGCATTGAGCATGGAAATGTCCAGAAGATGGAAAAAGAGTTTTATGTACCACTTATAACTCTTGCAAACACAATCAGCAAACCCAATCTGCATGTCATATTTGTCCACTGAACGCATATTGAAGGTGTAATCAATCACAGCTGCAGGTTTTAGAATGGGTTCATTGCTCTCTCTATGCTGCCTGCCAGTGTCTGCCATTTCATTAGGGTGAACTAATGACAACAGTGTGACATCTCATTTGTCATGCCACCGAAATGCCATGATGTCATTGGCAGCAAACGCATGCACCTCACCTCTACGAGTGCCAGCGTCAAACCTGGGCATATGTTTCCGATTTACACGCACTGTGCCACACACATCTCTCATATTCACTCGCAAAAAATCACTGAGTGAGGGGCTTGTGTACCAGTTATCAGTATATAATATATGCCCCTTACCAAGATATGGTTTTATCATTGTTCTAACCACATCACCAGAGATGCCCACTAACTTCCTGGTATTTTGCAATGTATAACTTCCAGTGTACACAATAATATCCAATACCAGACCACTGTAACAATCACAAAGCACAAACAACTTTATACCAAAGCGTTTCCTCTTGCTTGGTATGTACTGCTTGAAAGAGAGTCT